GCCCCCTCTGGCCGCCGGGGGGAGGGGGGGGAGCCGGGACGATGCGGATGCGCCGGGACGCTGCTCCGGAGCGTGGGAGCGCCGGCACCGCCGCCGCATGGCCAAGGCCAAGGCCACCATCCGAGAGGCCCCGGCTCGAACGGAAGGAGGGTCATTCCCATCACTCAAGGGAAGGGGGGTCATTCCCGTCACCGAAGAGCTTCACTCCAAACCACATCCAGTGACAACCGCTTCAAGCCAAGAAGGGGGGAACACGAAGCCGGGCACAGCCAGACCCGGTCGTCACCCGCCCGACTGTCACAAGTGGGGACAATCACAGCCAACCCCATGGGGAACAGCGGCTCGGAAACAGTCATGAACCCCAGAGCCCAGCGCCTGTGCGCCGGCCGCGGCTCCGCCTGTAGCGGAGGACAACCTGTCTGCACCCAAAACAGCCGCCCACGGCTGCAGCACCCAAAGCGCCGGCCGTGCTAGTGACTGCAGCCACTACAGCCGCTTGGTGGGCCTGCGACAGCCACACGGGGAGCAGGGACGTCACCCGGCGCCTCCCTCCGCCTGTCGCGCTCCTCGGATGGTTCCAGGCCGCTGCGCCGGGAGCTCCGCGTTTCCCTGCTCTCATCCTGGGTTTTGCAACCGCTCCAAACACCGGAGCGCTGGAAACCAACAAGGAGGGGACATCAGCAGCAGGAAGGGACAAGCACGGGCATCTCCGGGGAGGCCGTCACCGCCTCCCGGGCCGGACAGTCTCCTGGGCCGCGTTGAGCCCTCCTGACAGGCAACAGAAGCGGAGCCAGAAGCTGATCCGGCGGCCGGAGCTCAGGGCTCCAAACCCTCCGTTGCGGCCTCTCCTCCGCGGGGACCCGGCCTCCGTCCCGCTTCCCTCGCCCGCTTCCCGAACATTAGAGCAGGAAAAGCCCCCGGATTACCCAGACCAGGGACCAAACCCGTCCTGACCCCCCTCCCCGGGGACTGCAGGGTTCCCCGCAGCGCGGACAGGGTGCCCACGTCACCGTCCCGGCCGGGCCGCTCGCATCCCGGGATCGCGCGGAGGAAACGGAAGGGAGCGGAGGGACCCCGGTGTCACCCGGGCCACCCGCTGGCAGCGCAGCCCGGCTCCGCGCAGACTTCGAGGA